ATTATATTAAACGAAAGTTTTAGGCACTTTGATCCTGATGGGCAAACATCTTGATCTCTTGAAAAAGCTGCTGAAAGTACTCCCTGTAGCTATAGTTAATATACAACATTGTATGCACACTGCTGGCCAATTTATTCCAGCCACTTTAACAATGATACCTCGCCTGACAGGCTGTGCAGAATAGCATCAGGAGTCAAGCAATGCACAAATCATTAGAGGACTCTGAAAGTTGTTTGACATACACTGCAGAGCTCTTTGTCATACAGCCAATTAAGTGACCAAACAAGAAACGTGAAAACTTTCATTAATTTGCCCCTTTTTATATATAAATGGAGGTTAGAGTCTTGTCACAGGCACAACAAAAACACAGGCAAACCCAGCATAATTCAATTTGTGCTCCCTCTCAGAGCTGCAAGTTTCTTTCGTTTAGTCTTCATGGAAGTTGGGACCAGTCATGCAAGCGAGAGAGAAGTGGGACAAACAGAATTAATCCACTTTAAATAGTACTGGCTAAGTCCCAGATGCACCTTTTATCTGCTGAGAACTACTAGGTTAGCAAAGAAAAAAAAAAGTCTCTTCTACTCAGCTCTAAACTTAATGCCTTGAATCCTCTGAGGAAAGCCTTTCATTTTTTGCTTAGTACAGCAATTCAAACAGCCCATGTTTCAAGTGTGAAGTGTTCAGAAAGTCTCCAGGAGAACCAGAAGGACAACTCTGACTGCAACCACATGCCACTTTCTGCTACCTGGAGCCTGCCAGCACCTCAGAACCAGCTTCATCAGTGGCTCTAATGACACCTGCACTCAGAAGCTCTTGTGATTGTCCCAGAGCTGGTGGAACCTCCATAACCTTTGCCATTTGCTATACAGACCAGTGCAGCATTACAAACAGGTTAAGCTGATTTACAGAATAACTCAGGATGGTAGGAACCAGAGCAGCAAACACCTTTAGACAAGGAAAATGCTACCTCCTTTCACCTCTTCGACAAAGTTGCCACTCACACTGTTGTATTCACCAGCTTCCAGCTTTGAAAACACTGAGACTTTGTAAAATAAAATTTAAAAAAATAACTAAAAGAACGAGAGCCCTGTAAAGTTTTGGTCTTCCAAGACCCTCATCCCACACGCAGCATGCAATTTCACATGGGAAGAGGCCTCTGGCTGGCACCACAGGGAAAATCATTGGCCTCATGATGCCCTGGAGCTGCAGCCCACAAATCCCAGTAAAGCGAGGACATGAGCTCAGATTTTGCAATCAGATGAAGGTATATGATAAAAAGACTGCAAGTATAAGTGTAGCACAAGTCTTCATTAAAGTTGTGTTTCCAGATACTAAATATTACAGCAAAATTCTCCAAGTTTTCCCCCATGTTTAAGTTTTCCATGTTAATATGGCCTCACTTTTTGCATTATGTGAGTACTCAGCCCTTTTTTTATCTTTACTACCCCACCTCCATTCCTAGAGGCTGGGAGAATTGCACCCATGGCATTTTTAAGTTGGGGAGCTGAGAAACAGTGAGCACATGACACTTGCTGAGGGACACGGAAGAAATCTGTGACACAAAACACAGTTTCACAACCTCCAAAATACAAAAATTTCTTTTTTATACAACCCTAGTGCTTCAGTTTAAGGAGAAACACCTTTGAAAAATGAACAAACATAAATTCTAAAAAAAAAAAATTACAGAAAATTCATACCAGCTTACATCACGCACCAGTCACCAAACTAAGCTATGCTAATCAAATGCATCACCCGTTGTGACTCATTCTCCCATGTGATGACTTTTCCATCCCTTTCCCAAAATAGAGAGCAAGAACAGTGCACTGCAGAAAGGTGGGCATGAGAGATGTACATCTCTGTTGTCCAAAAAGCCACACTCTTAGCAAATGGAGCACCTTTCCAAGGCCACTCTGCCATCTTGGTCAGCTCAGTCTAAGCTGACTATTAATTAGTATCATAAATTAAAACCCATGTGGCAGTTTCTTAAATGTCACTGCAACTGAAAAATCTTCCAGCAATTGCCTGGTCCTTATAATGGCCAGTCTTCGCGAGCGAAGATCCGGGGAAGGTCTTTCCACCTTCCAACCTGCGCATTGGATTTTTTAGGTGAGACACAGTGTGCGCGGAACTGAGCCCACCCTTTAATCCTAAGGTTCATCTGCCGGGGCCAAGCGAGCTTGGACGGTGGCAGTGAGGTCCTTAGGACGTAGGTGGGTTGCCTTTAAGGGCTAACGAGCCCCACCTGCCCGGGAGTGGCCCTGACCGGGAATCGAACCCGGGTCTCCGCGGTGACAGCGCGGCGCCTTTACCACTGGACCACCAGGGGCTCCTTATACTATTATGTATTTATCATGTCACCTCTCAGGTTGGTTCTTGTTGAATTTTTGAGACAAAAAAAGATCATTTACCACACCTGGAACTAAAGAAGCAGCATTTTTCACCTCCAATCAACAAAATCTCTGAGCTGTTACATCAACCAATACTGTGAAACTGAACAAATCAAATCAATATTTGTTTTAAATACAAAGGTACCCAAAGAGATGAAATGATCATCTGATAATGTATTCCCAGTCTCATATTTGAATAACTCACAAAATTTCTCAATCTGTTTGGCATATTTATTTATAGTCATTTATTTTGGCCTTAAAAGGACTTTACATCCCAACTGCTTCAGGGGCTCTGTCATGAGTACCTAAATTTTCAGCCCAAAGAAAACTGTAAGACTGATTTTAGCTATTATTATGTTCTCAGGTCACCCTTGCCCTCCCAAAAATCCATCTTTTTAATATTTGTAATTCCTGGACATCTCTCACATAAACTTTGTGCTGCACTTTGCTTTGTCTAGGGAGCACAGAACAGAAGGTACACTTCCAGCCCTCAGCCGAATTCAGCCATGGAGGCTTTTCAAAATAATGGGATTAGCACAGGGAGATCATGTCAGCAAAGTTGAACACTATTTCTCTGTCATCAGAGAATGGCACGACTTCCCATCTCCCACTGACCTTACAAAGTCCATGGTTTCACCATTTAAGATTTGTTGAAAAATCTCTGGCTAAACTTTCATAGCCAGCCCAGACATTTCACCACCTGGTGAAGGATAAGTAATAGGAGTATCTGCAGTCACATTTAATTGCTATTACAGATAACCTCGCCTTCACAAGATTTTCTGATGATTTTAGATACACAATTTTCCAAATGGAAGCATACTGTATGAAAATATGTCCAGATACATTACTTTACCTCCATATAGTACAAAGCAGAGTTGGAAAGGTTCAATTATGTCATGTAATTCATTCTTCAAGCCCTCTGTTGCAGGACTGTCCTCTTCAATATATGTACCACATTTGTCCATATTTATACTAAACAGCTTAAGCAATGAGCTTTCATCAGTTTTTGTCTACTAAAAAAGCAGGTGCATGATTAATGTTTAAACACACAATCTGCCTTTCCAAGTGAAAGGGAAGGAATCCTTGAAAATAAGGCTAAAACTGGAGTTTGTGCAAAATATTCAGGTTTTATTCTATGAAGGCCAAGCTTTCTGCAGAGCATATTAAACTCAACAACCACTATTGTTTGAAAAAAAGACAAAAAGACCAGGCATATGCAACAATTCTGTAGAGTTTGCCTATGCAACTAATGGAAAAGGATAACTATGGGTCAGGTAGCACCAAGGTCCCCAACAAGATTGCGTAGCTCACAGGCAAATCAGCCTCACCACGTTTCCAATGGTAGCAGTAGACAAGACAGCTAGCTTGGGACTGAGCATTGCACTGCAAAGTTTCCTAAATCCCTTCAAACTGGAAAGCTAGTTGCTTTCTCTGGGATCCCAGACAAGGGATGTGTAACTCCATAACTCATCTTTATCCATTAATGTATATGGAAGAGAAAAGGTGTCTCTCTCGTGACATTTTCCAAAGGGAAGACAAACAGCCTACCAGCTCAGAGAGGTGTTATTTTATTTCTAATGTTCTAGAAATCTAGACCATCTAATACCACAAGCTAAATGAAATACGCACTCACAAAATAAAGTCAGTACTGACTGTAGGAAGTTGAATTTTTTAGGAAAGTTCAGGTAGAGACAGTCCCCTCCAGAAACACGGGGTTCATTTTTACACCTCTGTGTGTTACACATACACATATAAATAACGCTCAATGACCCATAAGTACAATATCAATGTTCACAAGCACAAGACAGAAATTAGATGGTAAAACATTCACATTTCTTAAAGCAGCATTAAACTCACCCACAGTATACAAACAGGTTTATATAAAAGTCACTGGAGCAATGTCATAAGGCAAGGTGACAGGATTAAAGAAATAACCCAAGGTCCCACCTTGAAAAGCCTATAAGCAGGTCTTTCCAGAATGTTTGGGCTTGACTTTGTTCATTTAAACATGAGGTAAGGCTATGAAAGTCAGGCCAGACCTGGATGAATTCCATGGGGTGTTATGTTCCTAACTCTATACTTACTTTGTAGCACTCTCCTCCTTCTTACATCCCCTCTGTGAGACTCTGCATTTCATTATGATCCTACCTCCTCCCTCGTGCCAAGTGTTGCCATTTTGAATTGTTTCTAAATTTGAAAGGGTAAGGGGGGAAGAAAGAAAACTAAGGAAATGCAGGTGGCAGTTATATGAGTGACATGCTGAAAGCAAAATCCAGCTGGTCTGGAGACACCTCCATGACCAGCAGCTTCACATTCTTTACTTGCACACATCTATACTATTCTGCTTATTCAGATGGCCAGATAAGCCTTGTCAGATCTCTCCTGTGCTTTTTTCCACTTTCTGATTCAGAGGTTTTGCCCAGATTTTTGTCAAGTCTGAGAACAATGGGGCAGGTGGGGTGAGGTGAAAAATGACATTATTATCCTGTAACCTTAACCTTAGAACTTGCTGCCACAAAGGTGGTAGTAATCAGATTATTCACAGAGACAAGACTCACTTCACAGTCATTCAGTCAAACAACTGGACACGTGTATTAAAAACACAAGAAATACCTGGACATAGGCCCTGCAAGAGCGCTCCCTTTTCTGAAGCTGAGTCCATAAAGAGAGCAGATTAAAGACGGAATAGAAAAAACAAGTTAGTGACAGAACAAGGGAAAAAATTTGAAGAAAATGCCTATGAAAAAAATCACCTAATTTCTCTCTTAAACAAGTTCTGAAAAGCAACCAAACCAAAGGAGTGATTGTGTGTTAGGCAGCAGTGGAAGACTGGAAGGACTTGTTCCAGAAATATGGGTTAGTCCTTTTTCAGTGAAGTAAAGCACAGACTGGCAACTTTGCAAGAGCAGCTGTTAGATGGTGGGAGATACTGAGGTCTAGTAGAGATACTCAAGAGATGATGTTTTCCTTGCAGCTTGGAGATCACACATGACATTTCCACGTCAAACAAGGCTGAAAAGATGAGGCTGAGTGGTTATTTACATAAGAGGAGCGTGGGCTCTGCAGTCAGACAGTGCTGATGGCACAGTGAGAGCTTCAGTTGAGCAGGCCCGATTCTGGGGAGCAAGATGTGTGCAGGACTGCATCCTGATACAGAATGCACCTGTATGGACCCATCCTGACAGACCTGCTCAGGTCTCTGTCTCAAGACAAAACCTGTAACATTTCAGCTTCACTGCTGTGGGCTTGTGTAAAGCCAGCTCAGGCACATGTCTAGTGTGATAACACATTGTATTGAAGGAGAGAGCATTGCCCAGGGCTCCTGACAGTGTAAGGGCCACTGAAGAGGACATATCAATGAAATGGGAATTCAATATAATATTTCCAGTTAAGGCCATCCTCTCCCCTTTGTATTAAACTAATTCTCCAGGGATACATTATTCACTCCTTTCATGTCAAGTTGCGCTTTCCTTCGTAAGTCCTGGGCCTAAATGCTTTATATGCTGAATAGCTTTTCCACAAAGAATCTCACCTTTTCCACAGGAGCCACATTTCAGACTGTACTTTGATATGCACTTGCATTCCTCCTGTCTGATAACTGCACTTTTGTGTATCATGAAATTCAAACAGGCACCTCTTTAGCTCCATGGGACTTTGTAGGCATTCTGCAGCAGTGAGCAAGAATTGGTGAGCTCTGCATCACTGCAATGAAACCTCACAAAATCAGGCTGCTCAGAGCCACTGGCTTGGTTGGGTTTGCTTTTGTTGATGTGCCTGGTTGGAAACTGCACATCAACAGAGATTCAGGGCAACTTGTACTCTCAACACACAACAGTGCAATCCCATTAGTATAGCTGAGAGCCAAATTTGTCCCCAAGAGTTTTGAGGCTCTGAAATAAACAAAATACACCCAGGTATCATGCAATGCCTAATTTCAATTTCTAATTCATCAATTTGTAACAGTAGAAATCTTCCTCTGGGTAAATCAGGCCAGTATGAAGACTTTACAGAAGCAAATGGAGATCAAAGAAAGCCTCGCTGAAAATTACAGAGCTATCCACTCAGGGGTCTTCCTAGTATGCAATGGAGCAATTATTACCTTAATTAAGCCTGATCCCGTGGAAAGCATAAAGCTTTTAGTGACAGGAAAGTGACTCCTGAAAGATGATGGCTTTTAAAAATCTGATTATGACAGTTAATTTCAATTCATTGTACACCAGCTTATAAAAAAAACCCACACCAGTACAAAGCAGCACAGGTGATTACTTTTGGATTCTCGGCACATTTCCTTTAATGATTAAAAGAATATTTAATGGCTGGTGCTTACTTTATTTCTTCTTTCTGACTAAACAGCACTAAACAAAACTCTTCACAAATTACTTTTTTTCCCTTTTTTTTTTTTTTTTTTAAATACTCTTGATCAGTGAAGAGGAAAATGGAGCAGTAACTCTGCTGCCTTTTGTTTGCCCAATACTACTTCCAAGCTGAATTCATGCATTCTTAAATGAACACGAGCAGTTGCTCTTCTAAAGAATTAAGTGGGGAATGAGAGCAAGTAAATTACTGAGCCTGTCATTTGGATCACTGACTCACATCGCTGTTTTGCAGGACTCCACGTGGTCCGGAATTTTAATGTGGAGCGCAATTGATTTGTATGAGTTGCTTGTGCAAAGCTGATGGCAGGGGGAAGAAACCTGCAATGGGGACCCTGGGAGTGACAGCTGAGCCAAGAAGCTCTGCCTTGTCCAGTCTTCCCCTCCCCTCAGTAACTCACACCTGTCCCCAGGATACAACCCCATTTCATGTAATTGAAACAAATACTGTGAAGTGACATATAAAAAGATGAAAAATATGTGCTTGCAAAGCTGAAGTGACAAAATGTTGGGTGTGGCTGGGACACATCCAGAAGAGCAAGTAGAATACAACCACGAAATCTGTTAGTAGGTGACATTAATTGCTAGTTTTACCTGATGTTGTCAGACATCACCATCATTTAAACAAAGACCCATGGTATGTTTATAACAAATAATGTTATGCTGATGTAACAGTTAATAAAATTATTACCCACATTGTTAAAAATAGCTGGAAGCAGCACTAATTAAAAGCATTGGGATAACCCAATTCTCAGCACATGCAAAGCACATGAAATGCAGGACTTCAGTTCCCATGTGACTGAAATCTTAAACAATCCCGAAGCCCTTTGCATTTAAAATAGCATCAGTCTACAACAATACCTTACAAGAAAAAAGGCAGTGTTACTTCTCTGAAAAGCATTTATCTTCATAAGACACAGAATAAATTTCAGGTTTAGCTAGGATCATTTATTCCCCCTATAACCTTGCAACTAAGTTCTGTTCACGCTTACATGAATGTCAGAACTGATAGGCAGCTGGGAACAAAATTTTGTGTCTTATTTTAACTGGGTGGCCAATATAACCACATATGCTCATAGTCACAGGGTTCAGCTGCTCTTTGTTCTAAGAACCAGGCCTGCACAATTCACTGTCAGAATCCTCAGTAAGTCCTATCTCATGTGTTTACATGAGACAGTGATGAAGAGGGCCTTTGACTACGGAAACCCTCAGCTAAATGTATTCTTACAGACTCCACAGCTCATATTTCCTGCCACAACTGGCAACTCCTAGCACCTTTACTGCTATGTAGCAATTCCACTTACTTCTGGAAATGACAAAAGGACTAATAATTCTTCTTAAACTGGGGCACGGAAACCACACTGTTGTCATGTAGTAAAGTACTTCTGGGTTAAGTCATGGGTTATCACTAAAAAGACCCTCTAATGCTAACGCATCCTGAAACCTTAAGCGTAAATATGATGGTGTCTTATGTGCCTTTTGTAAATGTATCTCCAGTGTAAATGAATGTTTCTGTCTGCCTCCATTTATATTCGTGCACAGAAGTGTTCATTGGACCCTCACATCAGCCTCCTGCCCCCTCCTGAGCCCCTTTGTTTTTACCTTATTTAAACTGCGTGCAGCACTGTCCTTCCCGCCCGGAGTCAGGTTCCGGAGCTGCACGTCGAGCAAGTTCACCAGCTGGACCATGGCGGACACGGAGTACGCGATGTCACCGGCGTACAGGTGGTTTTTGGTGTGCTCCGCGAGCTCCCGGGCAATGTTGGCAGCCATCTCCCCTGACTTCATCTGCAGTTGAGAAAGCAGAGGGAAAGGTTGTCCCTGGCTGTTAGTGTGTTAGTCCCTTCCGCTCCCACAGTGTTAAGCAAGTCAAGTCCCCTCGTGAAGAAGTAAAAGAAAAGAGATGAAGAAGAGGAGAAGAAAAGGAGAACAGAAGAATTTCCCAAGAAGTAAACCATAGCAAGGGTCTTCATCTTTTTATCATGAACAGTGTTTTGAATATGGTTCTAAACGTGTTTTCTCCAGCTATAGCCAACCATGTTGGCTTCAACAATTTCTTCTCACAAGGCACTGTTTTCCATGGGATGCCCATGCTAAGAAGACTTTAATTAGCTTGTCCCACTGCCTTACCTATGCCACTTGAAAAAAAAAACAAGCATGTAAACAGTCTCTCCTGTCAAGGAAGAGCAGTTTCTGATTACAGAAGGTTACCTGATGATAAGCGAGGAGATGATTTTTCTTACAACTCCTCCACAAAGAGGTTCCTTGTAAGAGGAACAAAAATAGATGACATAACCCAGATCAACCAGAGAATGAAGTCCACAATTCCTGCATTATGGATTTAATAATCAGGTGCTAATTTATCACTCAGCATTTGCATGCAGGAGGCATGCGCCTTACCACACAGGTCACATCATCTGCACTGGGGCTAGTGACTCTCAGCACACATAAAAGCATACTAACTCAGGAGCAAAAGGCTCAAGTTTCAAGCAGAGGCCCATTGGAAGGGAAAACCCAGCAGACTGTTCGGTTGAATCTTCTATTAAAAGACTTTTATCATGTAATTGAGTCACAAAACTCACAAATCACCTGCAGTGAAATTCACTGTGTAATTATCTGAGAAACTCTCACTTTTTCCCCTGTGGCTTTTCCCTCTTTCTTGCTGTGTTTTGCTTCTCCCTACCTGGTACCCATTTTCTATGCCATGGGGATTTGGGACAGGGCAGCTGGTCCCATCTCCTTTTTATGAGAAGCCCACTACAAAAATACTATTGCAAGTAGTATATATATGTCAGGGATAAGGAGAAATTAGACAGGATGACATGTAAACAAAGCTCCCACTTCTGTCAGGCTCAATGACCAACTCTACTGGGCTCTTCATATCAATTTCCAATTGTTTTATCTTCCAAGAGCTAAAAATCAGATATTTCTCTTCTTCCCTCAATCTCTGGTGCTTATTATAAAAGCAAGATGCTAGGGAAAGATTATAGGCTGAGTTTCTACCTCTCTGTAAATCAATTAGCTGAGTTATAAATGAATAACTTACTTCTATCAATTTGACAGCAACAGCCCATCTGATTTAATGAAATCTAAGTGGAGATGTTCATGCACTCGTCCTCAGAGAATTAAAGCATATGATGATATAGAGAAGATAAATAAAGGAGATAATATGTTGTTCTTCCTATTAGAGCAGTGATAACATACATTCAAAAACTGAATTATTTCTTCCTCGTTACACAGAAGGCTAATGCCATAGAAACCAGATCCTATTCTTACAGCTGCCTGTTCTCCTAAGCAGCTGAAGAAAGCCACGCATCAGCACAGAGGTTGAATTTTGACCTCTTCTGTTGGCTCTCAGAACTTTAAAGAATGACTGCATCAAATCCCTTTACATAAAGAAATCAATTTCGACATTTTCCTGCAGTTCATCGCTGGAGCTTAACATGTATCATGACACATTGTGTTTCTGTAAGCTTTGCAGAAAACTGCAGGAATTCAGGACTATTTTTACAGATATATTAGAAAAGAAAATCCCTGCTACCCAATATCTGATGCTCACATTTTCACTTGGACCACAAACCTATGCAAACTGGTACACTCAGAAAAAATTGCTCAGCTGCTACAAACAGGCTGCTGTTGTTCCTGTCTGTCTACTAAAGTAGTGGGGGCTGGTCACTAATAAACCCTTTTCCTTTTCTCTTGTACTGATCCTAAAAACTGCAAATCTGAGGAATTCTAGTGTGGCCAAACAAACAACACATAAAATAGGTAACAATTGAAGAAATGCCCCAGAGAAAGGCAGACTGAAGCTCAAAATCTGTGAACTCCTGGGACATAGAAGTATTTACCCAAACTTTTTCACACACCCAGGTTTCCTGAAAACACAGAGATGTGCCATTCCCTTGGGACAACGTTTTTGGTTGACAGGTAATGAAGCTACTTACTAGCACTGACAATTCCAAGCCTCTACATTGTCATACAGAAAATGCAGGTACAAGTCACTACAGCAGTGCTGAGATGCTCCTTCCATTCTGGCTGCACGCATGAGAGGGCGTCCAAAATGATGGCTGTGTGACTTGCTAATGCTAATGTCCCCAACTTTTTTAGAGCATTTTCCACTGAAACTGAAGTGCAGTCCTGTCAAACCCATCTTCAACTATCAGTCCCAAATGCTGGCTGAATATTCCAGGGCTAAGATATATATCTGGTCCCTCATAACAGGATTGAGCCCCTTTTTTTGGTTAATTCTACATAAGGCTCAGCAAAGCTTACTGCTGCCCAAAAGGATGCATTGCTAACTTACTTCTCTTCTATAAAGCACTTTTCCACATATTCCTCTTCATTACTGCTGCACGGAAAATGAGCTCTTCACAAGTTATTTCTTCGAAAACATGTAATACTCTTTAACCCAAACATAGTTATATAGGAACCCAGGAACAACCCTTAACAGATTCTTCAGGGGTAAAGCTGTAATTGAGAGGCAAGCAAGAAGTAGGGAAAAAATATGCAAGTAACTGACCTTTCTACTGGGAGGCTCAAGAACAAAAAAGGGAATTAAAAATAATGTATCTCTTTACGATTTGAGACTACTTTTAAAAACTTCCTATCTTAATTATGGAAAAAAAAATTAAAGATAAAAAAGGATTCTGGAATAAAAGAAAATTGGGTTTCTGGGGATTTTTTGGCTGATTTTTTTTCCTTTTACAAACTGATTAAATCTAGCCTTAGAATACTAATTTGAAGGTGAGAAAAAATGTTTCTTGCCAATAATGCCAACATACAAAACACAGTTTTATAGCTTTGCTAAAAAAATTGCTCCCCTCTTCTATTTGGACATAATGGCAGGATTCTGACCAGATTTACAAATGATTATTGGCACACCTGAAATCCCTCTGTGCAACACTAAGCTAATATTTTCCAAGTTTGTATCACTATCTTGCACCTTCTTATGACTGAAAAGACTGAAATAATAGTTGTTGGAGAGGACATACATTCCTGCCTGTTTCATATATGTCAACAATACAGAAGCATGGAGTTTTGCCTGGAAAGACCAACAAAGACCCTCTTGCAGCAGTGCTCACTGTTTCAGCCCACCTTTCTCAGAGGGAACTGACTGCAGAAGAGGACAGTAGAATAAAAATGAGAGAAATTGCAAAAAATAACTATTCAGGGAAGAAAATTTGGAAGAAATTAGAAAGATACTGGGAAGGGAGTGAATGTGTTAAAGCACCTGTAGTCATAAAAGCAAAAATATTTTCCTGCAGCCCGAGGCTGAATGATAGCAAAAAAGAAAAAGATGGTAAGAAAGACTGAACTAGGATTTTTAAGAACAGTGACATACAGATGGACTGGTCAGCTGGAAAGACCATGAAGTTGATACTGTTTTTTGAGGGACAAACAGCTGACAGGTTTTATTAGGCAACGTTAGTCAGATAGCAAGGCTATAACAGGGGCTGTGAGCTAACTTCAGACACTGCGAAGACTTCATGGCCTTTTTCTTTCCCTAGCAGAAATTTCAACATACATTTGTGTGTCCATAGAAGAGAGTCAGAGCACATATGTCATCCTTTTCTCTTTTTTTTGAATCACAGAATCAATTAGGTGGGAAAATACCTCTAAGATTATCAAGTCCCACCCATGATCAAACACTACCATGTCAATTAGACCATGGAACCAAGTGCCACACCCAGCCTCTTTGTAAATAACCTCCAGGGATGGTCCTGGACCGTCCTTCCGGGCAGTTCATTCCAATGTCTAATCACCCTTTCTGTGAAGAAATTTCTCCTAATGTCCAACATAAACCTTCCCTGGCACAGCTTGAGACTGTGCCTTCTTGTCCATTCTGTTGATGGTTGCCTGGGAAAAGAGGCTGACCCCCACCTGGCAACAACCTCCTTTCAGGTAGTCGTAGAGGATTGTACAGAGTGATAAGTCTCCCCTCGAACCTCCTTTTCTCCAGGCTCCCTCGGGTGCTCCTCGTAAGGTTTGTGCTCCAGGCCCTTCACCAGAGACACTGCCCTTCTCTGGACTTGCTCTAGCACCTCAGTGTCTTTCTGAGTACAGAGGGACAATCACTGCTCTGCTCCTGCAGGCCAGGATGCCATTGCCCTTCTTAGCCACCTGGACATGCTGCTGGCTCATGTTCAGCTGCTGTCAACCAGCACCCCTAGGTCCTTTTCCACTGAGACGCTTTCCAACCACTCTGCCCCCAGCCTGTAGCACTGCACAGAGCTATTGTAGCTGAAGTGCGGGACTCGGCACTTGGTCTTGCTGAACCTCATACCACTGGTTGCAGCCCATCTATCTATCTATCTGTCCTGTCTACATCCCTCTACAGAGCCTTCCTGTTCTCCAGCAGATCGACACTCCCACCCAGTGAACAACCCATTCCATTCAACTTTCCTTTTTTTTTTTTATTGGATGATATCCAAGGATATAACTAACTAATTAAACAAAGGTTATCCAACAGAGAGTTGGATCACTGTTCTCCATATAATACAGCAAAACTAGAGAACGCTGAAAAAATGGTTTTGAAACTACAGTATTCAAGCAACCTAAACTGCATTTTATGACCCTTTATAATACAACAGCCGTGGCATCTGCTCCATCCTGTCCACGATGGCACTCTGAAAACAGACTGCCAAAAGCAATTTGGATGGAGGATTTCATCATGGTGTCATCAGAACTGCAACTTCATCCTCAGGCCTGGACACGACGACGTGGCGATGTCCTACACAAAACCTCACCTCCTCCGCAATGCACGCCCAAGCAGATCTACAGGACCTGAGGAAGGTACTATGAACCCTAAGGTTCATCTGCTCTTTGTGAGTACGTGATCGAGGCCACTCAGGAGGACACGTAAATCTAAAGCATGTGCTTCAGATTTACAGACTGAATCTTTGTGTGCATTCCTGAAGGACACAAAAGCTTTCTGTTCTGCTACAAAAGAGGCCTCCTCTCTTTCAGTGGCTTGAGGCTGAGTATAGTGGTGCCTGCCCTCCCAGGCAGCACCCAAAACTGAAAGCTGCAGCAAGGAAGAGATATTTTCAGGCAAGTCACACGCTGCGCTAAGGATGGTGCTGATGAAAGCAAGAGGTAAAACAAACAGGCTGAGACTGAATGTATCACCCCACGATCAGGACGATGCAATGTATCCAAAACTGACCTTTTTGCTTCCTGTTACTGTATGACTCCAGAAATAACCCAGGTAGCAGTGCATAATTCAATTCCACTGGCAAGTTTATTCTCCTGCTACGTTACGAGGGCACGGTAGGCACCAACAATAAAGTTAAAGTAAATGTCAGGAGGCCAATGAATTGCTGAAGCGAACATTTGTTCTGATCTTCCATCAAGCACAATAACTCTAATGGAAGCTAAGAAATGGCTGTAAAACCTAATACCATGATGCAAGCAGGTAAACACCAGTCTGAGTACAGCAGGAGAAAGAAAGAAGTAAATAATAATCCTTACTTCACTACAGAGATATGAAAGCAAACACAGCATTTCCCTACCATCTTTTCTGGCTGAAATCCCTCCAGGGGACCCATCACCCTTCCTCCTGAGCAGGGTGGAAGTTTGGACCCAGAAGGTGACAGAAGATTATTGGGAGACAAAGCAGATTAGGAATGAAGACACGCTGAGCAGGAATGAACCCTGGTTGCCAAAAAAGTATTTCTACCCATTTTGTCAGCTGTGCTGCAGCTGCAGATGCTGTGGGATGGGTGGCCAGTAAGGATCCAAGAGAGCTAGGGGAGCAGGAGAGCTGAGCTGCAGGGTGTGAGCACCTCTGTCCTCATGGGACAGCTGGCTTACTGCTTTCTTTAGCTGCCCCCATAGCAGCAAGAAGAAAAGCTGACTTGGCTTAGAGGAGGAAGGCTCCTTTTTCATCTTTAGAGAGGTCCTGGAGCAAATCTGCAAGCTCACAGAAGGGAAGTTTCTCATCCACAGCAGGGATGTGAGAAAAAAGATCTATATTTATGGATAAATCAGTCTCCATCTCTTAAGTGCAGCGATGATTTTCTAGCCTCTTGCTTGGGCAGGGAAACCAAGTGACTATCGGTTATTTCGGAAGTAATTTAAAACCATGTTTACTCTAAGGATCCTACTGAATCTTAAAGGCAGGACATCCCCATGATCCAAAAGATGAACTGGTGGGGAATAAGATTGGCCTGGCCGAACAGAGAGCTTTGGCTGGAATGAAAGGAAAAGAGGAGAGCTTATGACCTCTGGAAAAAGGGGCAGGTAACTAAGGAGGACTACAAGAATGTCATGAGGTTATACAGTGAGAAAATTAGCAGGGTCAAAGCTCAACCAGAACTCTGTATGTATGTCTACTGCCACAAAGGACAATAAAAATACACTTACAACAAAAGGAGTGCTAAGGAGAATCTCAATCCTTTACTGGATACGAGGGGAAAGATAGTGACAAAGGATGAGGAACAGGCTGCTCAGGGAAGTGGTTGAGTCACCACCACTGAAGGGATTTAAAAGACATACAGACGTGGCACTTAGGGACATGGATTAATGGTGGACATGTAGCACTGGGTGAATGGTTGGACTCAATGATCTTAGAGGTCTTCTCCAACCAAAATGATTCAATGAATGCAAATCCCAACAGAAACCCCTAGGCAATCCATAGAGAGTTTTCCCCTCAAAAGTCACTCCTGGAAAGTCTTGATGTTTTGTAACAACTCTCCATAGATGATGGGTCACATAACCCAAGATCCCAGTGAATTTCCACTCAGGCAAAAAGAGATCCAGGGTAATTTGGTAGATTCCTGATTAACAACTGGTGGAAGGACCTCCAAAGCTGAACATAACTAAGTTCCTTCAGGAAAGAAAAAACAAAATCAAGTCCCAGTTGTAACCTGCTGGGCATTTCTGAAAACCTGGCTGTTCAATTTTAGCCTGCTACCAAAGCGTGTAACAAATTAAATGGGGCTCATTTGTTACGCAAATGATAGCTAGAGTTTCAAATAAAATAAGCCTAACCTTGATGGAGATTTCATCAGTGCAGGCTATTATTTCCCTCTGCTAATGGCTTATGGCCTAGTCATCTTCACCAAGCAGCAAGAGGTCTCCCAGCTGCCTGGGTGAATTATGGTTGGAGTAAGTAATATTAACCCCTCCAGGATAACTACATAGGTCATAAAACAAGAGCTGCACAGCTGCTAATGCCACCAAAGGCAGTCTTTATTAATCAGCTCGCTGGGCATATGGCAGGAGACATGCCCATCCTCCTGCATGGGACAGAAGAACTATGGACTTTGTAATGGCTGCACCATACCACAGCAGTCCCATGTTAACTGACATCTTGCCTGCCTTTGGGGAGGGACAGGTATAAACACAGATGAAGCGAGATAGGGATGATCAGGGGCATATGTGGAATTCACAGGCTGCTGAGCCTCAGTTAAGATGAGGGACAGGGAGCAGTGGTTCTCAGGAGTGCAGAGTTGTCACTAGTGGGGTTCCCCAGGGCTCCATCTGAGGCCCTGTTCTCTTCATAAACAACTTGAACACAGGACTGGAAGGGATACTAAGCAAGTTTGCAGATGACTCCCTCAAAGGCATGGAGGCCCTGCAGAGAGACCTTGACAAATCAAAAGACTGGGCAATAACCAACCATATGAAGTTCAACTAGGGGAAGTGCTCAATTCTGCACCTGGGATGGGGCAACCCTGGATGTACCTACAGACTGGGGAATGAGATGCTGGAAAGCAGTGCCACAGAAAGGGACCTGGGGTCCTGGTCAGTGGCAAGTTGAATATGAGTCAGCAGTGCCCTGGCAGCCAGGAGGGCCAACCGTGTCCTGGAGGGCATCAGAGACAGCATCGACAGCCAGTCAAGGGAGGGGATTGTCCCACTCTGCTCTGCACTGGTGCGGTCTCAACTTGAATATTGTGTGCAGTTTTGGGCACTGCAATATAGGAAAGATATAAAGCTTTTGGAGAGTGTTCAAAGGTAGGCAATGAGGATGAAGAATGGCCTTGAGGGAAAGCCGTATGAGGAGCAGCTCCAGGTCTGTTCAGCCTGGAGAATGGGAGACCTCACTGCAGTCTGCAACTTCCTCATAAGAGAAAGGGGAGGGGCAGGCACTGACCTCTTCTCTGCAATGACCAGTGACAGGACCCAAGGGAATGGCCTGAAGTTGTGCCAAGGGAGGTTTAGGTTGGATATTAGAAAAAGGTTCTTCACACAGGGGGTGGCAGGGCACTGGTACAGGCTCCCCAGGGAAGAGGTCACAGCACCAAGCCTGACAGAGTTCAAGAAGCATTTGGAGAATACTCTCGGGCACATGGTGTGATGCTTGGGAATGCTCCTGTGCAGGTCCAGGAATTGGACTCGATGATCCTTGTGGATCCATTCCAGCTCGGCATATTCTGTGATTCTGTTGCTATCATGCAGCAGCACAGCTAACTTGCAATGCTGGGACTTGCTTGCTCTGGCTAAAGGAGTGAATAAATCCCCACAAATTGCTATAATAAAGATTCAGCCCACAGACTCTATGGCATAAACACACATCTGGTCTCTGTTTGTAATGAAATCAGCTGAAAGCACCACTGTGCATTAATAACAAAAACGCTCAACATATTGCTACCAAATAAGCTCTGCTTGTCTTGAACTTCTATTGTCACATGTTAATGCACTTTTAACACTGATAAATGATGAAGTGCTAGAAAACATTCATCAAGGGACTTAAGAGTCAAGAGATATGCATTACTGTGGTATTGTTTTCTATTCCATCAGTTCTTTTATAATTTGGGCAGAAGTTAAAAACAGAAAGTCAGAGGCAGAATGCAAACATTTCACATTGAGCCTGCCTTTCTTTGGTAAGGATTTCTTAACTAGAGGGCTTATCCTGTGCTTGCGTGACATGAAAAAATCCTGGAGGATGCATGAAAGGGAGTTGCCTTTTGCAACAAGTCAGTATTTCCCATATGTCTACCCACCTCCTCCCCCCTCTTTCTCCTTTGCTTGCCACAAACAAGAAATGCCATTCACTCCAGTTTAATTCCACTCTCCAACCCCTCTCTACGCCTTCCCTTACCCTCTTTGCCTTAATTTCTATAAGACAGTCATAGTCTTGCTTTCTTCTTGCAATTCCTGGCTACTATGCACAGCTCATGCTTTATGTGTGACCACTGATCCCTTTAGGTTCCTTGTGTTAAAGAAACAGGGAGCTAAGGAAGGTCACTCTAGACTCAGAGTTGCCAACACACAGGGAAGGGTTTTACCTTTTGAGTAATGTGGTTGATCCAGGGTGAAGAGCAGTTGCTAAGATCAGGTCCTTGGGGTTCCCAGATACCGTCTGGCGCAAGACACCGGAAAGTCGCAACCCCTGTAACAGGAAAGCCGCTGTGTTCAGTGTCATTGGTTGCATTTTGCCCCCAGCACACCATGTCACAGGCTTCATTTCATCTCATGCAAAACCCGGGAGCTTATTAGTGCTCAGGTCCTCAGTAGGACACTTCTGAGTCATCTCAGTGTCCTAGTCTCCCATCACCTTGAAGCTTAGGGGCCCTAAGACATAAAAGACCCAGGAGGTAATGCAGGAATACTATTTCCAATTTGCCAAACAGAAACTACAGACAAAGGACTTTGCCTTAGGCCAGGCAGGAAAGCTGCCAGGTACTAAGAAATCAAAACTAGATCTCAAACACTGAGCCAGCACCTTGAGTGCTCTGCCTCACCACTGGTGAACTGGGATCAGACTCTGTGCCTCCACTTCCTTGCTGCTTTATGAAGATTTTATGGCTCTGAATCATCATTACACCATTTGGGTGGATACACACACAAGTTTGAAAGCTGAGAATGCCAGGCTATAACGCTGGGCTTTACTGTCAACCCCCAATTGTCAAGAGAGACTTCAGAGGAAAGAGCTCTTTGGAAAGAGCTGCCCAATCCCTGCTGCAAAAGACTGCAAAGCGCCTCAGGCCCTTTCAGACAAAGAAAAATGCATCAGAAATGGTGCAGTTAAAGATCTTTAAAAAGCAAGAAAAACTTTACTCATAAAGACTGCATCCTAGAAAGTGTTCTGCCCCCACAGAACTGAACTCTTCAGCAGAGGCATGAAATACATGCTGGTCTGACAATAGCTCCAACTAAAACTAGTGAGAGTGTGCTCATGCCTTCAAAGGGAGTTGGAAAAGACCCATTGCTAATATTCCACAGCTTTCAACAAGTTGCATGAAGCACTGAAATTAGAGATGGGAAAGGTTTACGGCCATCCCCTATCAATAAGTTGGACTATTTTATTTTCCTCAGCTATTTTCATCCAGTCCTTAGCTCTTGTGCTTAGGAAAGGGCACCCTGCATCCAGCCTTCATTTTCACAGCTTTGGTTCAGAATATCCTTTCCCCTCTCTGGGAACCACATGATACTTTTTGCATTAATTTTACCAAGCAGAGCTGGGAAAGACAGTAAAAATGTTCTTTACCTATTCTCACCACTGATTCCTTTCCATGCCCGTCATACTTTAGCAGGTATTTTATCAGTCTGTCCTCACCAAATTCAAGAGAGAGTCAGTATTCACACACACAGGTGTGAATGGCTCTCTAGGAGTGGAGAATTAACAGAGATTCTTCTCTGCAAGCCAGACCCCTTCAGCCCTTATTTTCAGGCAATGTCCTCCACTTTTAAGATTTATCCTTTGCAAGCAATTTTTGGGGCTGGACACCAAGACTAGTGTGAAAAATAAATATTTTTAGAAAACTGCATTTGTTAAAACACAGAAAATTGAACCACATGCCAAAACCCATTCTTCATTTGATTGTGTTTTAAATGGAACAGAAAATTTCCAAAAGCAACGTTTTTCAAGAAAACAATTGAGGGAAGAGTAGAAGAAAAGGAGCAAAATTCAACAAGCAATAAACCATTTTGAAAGCTTTGGCTTTGTTTCTCCACTACTTTCCCAGTTGATCACACTGGGTGCTGGCTGCAGTTTGAAAAATCACTCACACTGGTTCAGGAGCTTCAAAACAGAAATTTTGTTGACCTCCTCCCCCATCCCCTCTCTGTCCCAAAAGAAACAAAATATTAGCCATCATCAGTCACTGAGTCCAGGGGCTACAAAAACAGGCTACAATACCAGGACAACAGGTGCATCACACCTAACAGAGGATTTTACAGCACATCAAACGCAACACCACAGGGTCTTCAGTACTTGTACTCTCCTTTGGCCAGATGCTAAAGATCCTGCACAACGTGCTCGGCACCTTGAGGCTTCAACCCCAGCCAGCTGCTTGCCAAAGCTGACCGAGGCAACGCAGACCCGACAGAAGGCATCAGCGTGCTCCACTGGTGAAAGCTGCACACTCACAACGCGCCACGGGCAAGCGGAGACAGCCTGCTGCGCCCTCCCACCCCTCGACTCACCTATTGAGCCCATGGGACAGGGCTGCTTCGCCACCTGGCCCTGCCGAGTCCGAGACCACATGATATCGCGGGCTTCCATGGGGTCGCAGCTCTCCGCACCGGCTGGCGGCAGCTGGGAGGAGGCGGGCGGGAGGTGCGTGGTCATCTCGTCGGGGACGTCAGCCATGGGCGATGGGGTGCTGGTGCTCCTGTTCCTCCTGCCCGAAGCCGAGGTGGTGGTGGGGCGGCCGGTGGTGCTGGTGGCCATCCGTGGCGTGGTGCTGGCAGTGGTGCTCCCCGGGCCCAGAGCCCCCGACGTCGATACTCCTGAAACAAAAGCAGAGCCGGTTAGAGAGAGGAGCTCAAGCCTAGGTCCTGAGGATGCCCCCTCCGATGACTCTGGTGGCCTGCAGAGTGTAGTTGGAGCTACAGCAAAGGCAAGGCTTGCTGCACAGCCACCTTTCAGAGAGAAGCTGGAGCAAACAGCGAGAGGAGCACACAGGGGGGTAATGACCGCTGGAGTACAACTGATTTTCCAAAAGCACTAGCCTCTGATGAAAATAAAGCGGTGCTTTATGTCCTCACCGTTTTTCTTCCTGGCATTTTAATGTAAAAATCTTATTTTCCATCTTTTAGGGAACACCTAGAGCAGAAGTGCTTTTAATTTTTTAGTGTTTCTGAAGACCCAGCTGGTTTGGAGAGAAAAACATTTTCCACGGTGTAATAAAAAAAAAAAACCACCAGACCACAAATCCATCCCCAAAACCAGCAGTGTACAGAGGGATGAACACAAGTCATTAATTTTCTCTGAGGTTCATGCCTTGCTGCTTCATCCCAAGAGCAGCACCTGGCCCCTTGAGCTGCAGGCCATGTGACACATGCAAAGGTGCACATCAGCCCAGCCAAATCCTTGAGAGTGTAATGCTCAATGGGCTAATTCACTGAAAACCTACAATGAGCAGTCAAGCAGCAAGAAGTGGGGAACCTGCTTTAGAAGTGCATTAACCCATTGTACATCCTGCAATAGCCACGTCAAGTACTCTGTGCGGGGAATATTGAGGGATTCCCATCTTATAATTACCTTATTTAGCCTCCTATTTAGACCAAGCTGCTTGTACAGACTGGAGCTTCATATGGATTCCTTTATGGCTTGAACTGAAATATCAGGTGGGGAAACTGAAGCAGGCTGCTGCCAAGTGCTCCCCCATCACCCCTGTCATGCCATGCCACATATGGCTTGTAAAGAAGCCTGCTTCTCCCATCTCCTTTGCCTCTCTCTAAGCACTCTTTTGCTTGTCTCAACCTAACACTTTCCCTCCAGTTAAACACCACATATGCCCCCTCAGTGCCTGCCTAGGAAAACACTGGGGCTGACTGTGAAATGGAGGTAAGGTATGAATAGGCTTGTCTGATACCATTCTCACTTTAATTCCCATGTCATAACATCTCACTACCATCTCACCTCATCCAACATTAAAATAGCCTTCAGTCACTGTTGCTACATGTCTAGTAACAGGAATGGGAGTTTCTACACTAAAGACACCCATGTGTGAACTACAGCTTAGCCAAAAATTAATATTAAATGTAACAATTGTCCTGTCGCCCCAAGGAACTATCCTGCTGTGTGAGCAGGTTCAGCCTGCAAGCTCTTGAAAGGCTGTCCTCTTTTCTAGGTCCCGTGAAAGTCCCATGCTCTCTGTCTGTGCAATATTAATGTGTAATGATATTGGAATGCATTGAAGTCAATCTATTTCAAGCATAGAGAGGCCTGCATTTGCTGTAACACAGGAGTTTTTCCATTCTGAAAGTTGTTTTCTGTAACTTAAGTAATTTAAGCCCATGGTGCTCTGAGCAACTCTCCTGCCACAGAATAATCAACAACATGGTAGTTGAAGCACATGCTTGCTCTGGTTTTACGTAATTTTACTACAAGTCTGACACCCCCTCTCCTCAAATACTGAAATTCAGCATCATCATAAATGTAATTTTCTGAGGGATAAGTGCATTCCAAGAAAATGTTCAGCTTTGAAATCCCAGCTCTACTGTGCCTTGGAAAACAGGATTATCTTCTCCCCCGGCCTTGAAAAAGGCAAGCAGCAGCAAAACAGGCACTAAATCACCTGAGCACCAGGACACTGATCTGAAAACAGGTCTCCCAACCCCAGTGATCAGATTTTCCAGTTTTCTCCTGCCACCTCCCTTTCACTATGAGCCCTGAGTTTGAATGAAATCCAAAAAAATACAATGTACAATCCTGCAGACCTTGACAGATTTTGTCTAAATTCTGATCAAAGCTGCTCTAGATCACAAAACAATGATTTCCATCTGACATTTCAGGGAGGATTAAAATTTGTAGAGAAGTTCCAGCAAATATCTGCTTTTACTACAGCAGGTCTTGCCACGAGTACATGTTTTATTTCTTCAGACTAGCCTGGTAGATAGCAACCTGCAGAATTTTTCCCATTTACTCGTGCAATAAGAAGTTATTTTCCTTTTGCAAAAACTAACTACGCCATGCACTAGAGGCACAAAGGCAGTGAGTAGATATAGTGGATGCAGTTTCAAAGCCAAAACTAGCAAATCCCATTTAAAATAATTCTTACAGTCATTTGTGAGCATATAGAAATATATAGTAATCACCCAGGAGCTCGCCTTGATCCACACGCAGGAGAGCTGCATTTTTGAGCCTAGTTTTCATTGAAAATCATTGAATATCCCACAGCATGCTGTTTTTGGAATAACTCTGGCAAGTTTACTGCAGCAGTTAGGCACAAGGGATTTAATGGCGTTTTTTTCTATCCATAAAAACTGAGCTGTTATTATTATTATTATTTATCTTCCATAAACCCCTTAGCACCGGTGTCAAAATCTCTTTGAGGGCTTGTTCTTCCAACTTTTTCTTGTTCCACTGGGCTTTCTTAGTGTTTTTAAAAATAAACACATCCACCACCTACAATAGGGCATGTTATAAAAGAGCTGCCTCAAAGTGGCCTAACTGAGTGAGACGGATGGGATACCACTGAACTGAGTTCAAAGGTTTGATTATCCAATAAGTCAGTTTGGTAATGAGCTCCAGCAATCATGATCACCATGCTAACACCACCTAGTTTCACCAGCCCCAGGCAGCACTGCTTGCCAGTTTTGCTCACAGAACCGTGTGCTTCCATAAGAAGTTAATTGGTAAGAAGCAAAAGAACAGGAGATCAGGATCATTTGCATATAAATGATTCTCAAATCCAGACAAAACCATGAAGAGACTGCAACCTGTGCAAAAGTACCTAAATCCTATAGCACAGAACAGAGATCAAACCTCCAGATTAACTCAGGCTGCCAATAAACTGTGAATTTTTAACTGGGGGGAAAGCAGCATTGCAGCACTGCTTTAACAGAAAGACTCTTCAGATAATGCTTCACAATACAGTTCTTACTGCAAGACAAGCACCTTTAAAAATCATCAACACTACTAGAACTCGAAATGTATAAACTTGATTATTTTACTTTTACTGCTTGTTTTTACCACACATCGCCATATCAAGACTTTAAAGGCAGCTTTTGAGTAAGACTCAGTTTCTACTCCTTTCAAATCCAAGACTTTTCAGACTTTGATTCCACAAAGTACAGTGCTGGGTCAGGAATTTTCAGTGCTCCCAAGAAAGTAAATTACAGCTGTGGAAACATTTCTTCCCCAGAAACACCCCAAACTGACACTTCACTTTTTTCTTCCCTTCTCTCTCCAGAAAGCTGGCACTAACAGCTCAAGACTAAATTTTGTCACCATTCAGATTAAGCTGCAGCCATTAAAAAAAAAACCAAACCCAAAACATTTCCAGTGTCCACAAGGGAGTAACTGCAACTCCCAGAGGAGCCTCTCTCTACTTAGGGCACACTGACTAGCAAGAAAATAGAAATTTTGGGCGTTTTTTTCTTCTTTCTTTTATTTTCCAACTTTTACATAAAGCTCATGCTTCTGGAGGCAGAATTTTGCTTGGTGGAAGGGAAATCATGGTAGGAATTTGCTAATGGGGAGTAATGTTAAATAAATAATGGATTCTCTTGTTTATTTTTGCTTTTTCCTCCGTTTCTGTTGGTTCCCCTTTCCTGGAGAAGTGACATGATAAGTGCACTACTGGTGTAAGAGCAGGAAAATCCATCAGGAAAATCCAGCATGTGTCATCTTACCTTCTGCTCTGCTCACCTCTTCCTGGTGCTCCCAGACATGTGGGATTGCATTCCCAAATGACTCTGACTAGTGTTTTCCTATCACAAAAGCAGCTTTGATTGCAAGGAAGTCTATTTGCTACCTTTTCTGTTTTGTTTTTTTTTTTTAATTTTGGCACCCAAGTATAAAGCATATGACGTGGTGTACTCAATAACTGAAAATACTTTTTAAGAGATGTCATGCACTTTCTGTCCCGTGAATGAAGATAACTGGGGGCCCCTCAAGCAGAAATTGCAGACAAGATTTCCTGGGTGAGGCTCACTGGCTTTTGCTAGGTAACAGATGACAGAAGACATCCGTCAAGCTCTGCCCCTGGGGTTGCAATCCAAAGGTTTGGCCTGACAGCTACGTGCTACGAGCCAGCACTCACTCACTAACTGGGAGAAGAGGCTGCACTCCAAGTCTCACGCTCAAGGTCCGAGCAAACCACGATGACTTCACTCTCCAGCAAGTTTTGCGTTCCTGAGCCTGACGCTCCCAGCAGATGTGATGGGGCGCCGGCAGCCAAGAGCCCCTGCCTCCGATGTGCTGCACCTCTGCAACACTGGACCAGCTGAGGCACAGCTAAGCAGTCCAACAGCCATCCAGGTGCTCCTTTGAGCACGTCCAGGCTGCGTGTACAATTATTTACAGCTGTTGCTGCCGCACTAAGACAAACAGAGCATTGCAGGATTTTGAAAGGCTGCGAGAAGCACAAAACGTGAAGGTCCCTCCTTCCCTGCTCACTTCGCCCTTTTCATATTTGGCAACCACATCCTTTGCTTACAGCATCCCTTTTATCATTTCTTCTTTTACTGAAAGATGGTGCAAGTTGTATTTACATAGCAAAGAAGAAGGTTTAGGCATGCCTTGAAAGAAGCAGCACAAAAAAACACAAGCCTCATACAATTGGAGGATTGTACCACAGTTGTTTTTCTCTTCCCTGTCACATAAATGCACCTCATGGGAATTAATTTTCTACAGGTATTTTCAAACGCATTTCAGAACATTTTCTGAAACTCCCTAGAAAAAAAATTACTATTTGAAAGTAAATATATTCCCATTTTCTTTTGCCTTTTCAGGTTTTTCCCTTTTTAGGTGTTTTTTTTCAAAGAACTCCATGTAAGGT